TTTTCTACTCATATTAATATTTAAATAATTTAACTTAAATCAAAATTCTGAACATTTTCTAAATTTTCATTGCATAACAGTTTTCCCTTAACATATATTCCAAGCAAAGTAATTTAAGTAAAAAATTTAAGTAAACATTTCTGAAATCAGAAGACAAGCAAAGTAATTCAAGTAAACATTTCTGAAATCAGAAGACGGGAAATTGTTTCATGCAGTCATACTTTAACAGTAAAAGCTTAACTAACCCGCATACTCGGACATTGCCGAATATTCTGGATAGTAACTGGAAAAAGAGGAGTGGGGGAGATTGTAGCCATTCTTTAGATTTCTTGGCTAAATAAATGATTTTGACATTTCGATATGTGCATCATATAAAAACAGACCATCGAAACTGAGAAATATTCTGCTTAGAAAAAACGGTAAAACTCTTTTAAGTATTCATAAACAAATCTCAGACTGAACATCAAAATTAATTATCTCTGCAAAATACCGCAAACGTTATTGTGCAATATGTGCAGCGTAATTCTTCCACATGTGATATTACGTAATCGGAATTAACAGCTGCCGGTATTCGGAGAATAAAGAACTAAATAAAGGAAAAGAAAGAGACTTACTAATCTGGGGTGTTTCTGATTCCAATTTTCAACAGACTGTGTTAAATTTCTGGAATAGAATCAATCTTCGCTTAGGTTGAGTAGACCGCAAAAACGTTTAGTCCTATTCAATTCAGATTGGACAATGACAAAAAAAAAAGTCCGCTGCTTCAATATTAGAGATTTTGCAGAGAAAGGGAAGAACCTCCCAACCTCCGTACTGTATAATGTATTGGCAGGGGAAAAAAAATAAATAAAAATAAAAAAAAGACTATTTGATTACTTTTCTTTTGATACTTCAACAGTTACTGCAACTATATTATTATAAATATTCATGCATACGCTCATAATATAAGCATTACGATTATAATAAACACGAATATGAACTGACCACGCGGAACGAGAATCCAAATTATTAAAATCTTGATAGAAATTCAAACGTGTGTAGTATTTTTGGTGAGAGGAAAAGAATACCGAATGTATCAGAATTTTCTACCGTTTTCGCAATTCTTTGACCAATAGAACGACGTGCACCTGTCTGTACTCTCGCGCACACCATAAGTTATGTTAATGCAGAGAAAGGGGGAAAAAGCATTTTCCGGTAGTATGATTCACCATCTGACGTTGCATATAAGGAAGAAAAGTTGTTTATTTAGTTTTTTGGGACTTCTGTGATTCCGGATTATCAATTTTTCCGGATTATAGATCATCAGTTTAAATCTCGTAAGATGGCATGCAGAAATTCTAAAATTAAAAATATGAAACCATAATTTATTAAATAAAGAACAATTATGATCTAAAGAGTATCAAAATTTACAAAAAAAAAAAGCTTAATATTTATTTGTTTACTTTATTAAACATTTCTTTCAATGTAAGGTGTTTAAGTTGCTTCGTTTTATGTGATAATACTTTCTCTTTAATTCCATAAACAGACATAATTTCTTGTTCAGTTACAAAGTTCCGCTCTTCAAGTCCTGTAATTGCTCTGCCGAGAATACCGACTAACTTGTTAATCGAAATTTTTTCGTTTTCACTAACCTCTCTGTCACCTTCTTCATGTTTTTATCCATTTTTTGCAGTAATTCCACTTTTTGTTTGATGGACATCGAAACATACTTTCGTTTTGTAGATCCTTTGGGAGCTCCAGCATCGGAAATTCTATTTTACATAATCGAAAGTTCAAGTTTACTTTTATAAAATTGTTCTTACAGTCTGCAAAAAAATAATAAGCCGGATCCACTTCGAAGATTAAGGAACAACACAATCATTAACATTAACTGAAATATATAATTAGATAATTTTAGCTTATACCGTCCGTTATACATTAAACGCGCACGTGAAAACGTATTCTGCGTTTGCGCACACGCATATGTGCAGTCGTAAAGGTCTTACGCGCACGCGTAAACGCCTATGCGCATGTGTCAATGCGGCGCATACGCAGAAAGTTTTTAGCTTTGAGGTCCGGATTATGGGTGTCCGAATTAACGACTTTTGACTGTACTTTTAAACAATTTTCGGAATTACTAACTATGGATTCACTCTTTTTAGATAATTCTACTAAAATTAATCTTAGGAGATAATATAACCAATATTTCTTTAGTATATACTTTTGGTGCGGCCGATCGCAACCTAAATGGGAGGTGCAGATCTACATGTTATAGCAGTCCCATACACAAAATTTCAACGTTCTGAGGCTACTTGTTTTTGAATTATGCGAGATACATACATACATACGTAAAGAGGCCACAAAATAATCTCTTTAGAATCCATTTTAAATCAGTTAAAAAAATTTTTTTGGGGGAAAGAATCCTTTATTCTGTCCTCACGTACAGATGTCATGCAAAAACATTGTTAAATTGCTTTCGATAGTGGTCAAAATGGATATTTTCGTTGAAATACAATACCCGAAATTTTTCGCAATTACAATACTTCCTTTTTACTTTGGACAAGGAATTAAAATGAAATATTAAATCATTTCCCATTTTGTGTTCAAATGTATATGTCAGATGAAGTTACAGGGCGTGTAAAGTGAAGTTAAAAGCGACTTTTTACTTTCCAATTTTGAGTAAACTCCTGGTGAATTCTTGATAATTTTGACAATACGTTTATTGCTAATCCTTAAAAGATAGGTTCTATGGGATAATTGCATCATAACTGTTTTAAAGAGTAGAACACAATGTGTAAAACTTATTCTCACTTACAAATGGGAAGAATACTGTTGATATGTATTCAGAAGCTCTTAAAGCAGTTATGGAATATACATCCCAGCTGTCTGCAAACTGTAGGTGAGATTCTCCTTTATAAATAAAGGTTTCTACGGCTAGATTATAAAATATTGATCATATTTATATCACACATGCAACTCAAATGATAATTTTGTGATTCTGTAGACTTTGAGCACAGAAAACTTTGTAATGTGCAAACATTTGATTGGTTAACCACATTTAAAAATCAAACAAGGTAAGCACCCAAGTGATTCAAATGCGCCACATTTATCCAGGTTTGTCCTTCAAGGATACATTAATCATTCAATAATAGGTTCAGTTTCTTCTTACTGAATAGGTTGCTGTATGGATTTTCATAGTTTTCCCTACAGGCTTGATAAATGCAAGTCAAATTACTCTTAATTAAGTGGGTCTTCCAAAACGCCAATTCTTTTTCAGACAGATCTTTCAAGTGTTTGGCCATAACTAATTCTACAACCAACCAACATATTCATATTCAACAAATTAATTTTATCAGTTGAGACAGCAGAAGTAAATTGGATAGTTTTTATTTTTTACAGAGTTGAGACTATCTACTAAAATTCTACTAAATTTATATCACTATGTATTTAGAAGCATTAAAAGTCATAACAATATTTTAAATGCTGATGTGATAGTGATGTGTCTATAACAAACAGTGGTGAATAAGGTAATCTTCAGCAAATGCATGGCTAATCTTTTATAATGCTTATGCAAGGGTTTCCTTACAAATAGTTATTGTTTTAAAACTTCTGCCAAAGGGCTGAGAAACACTATACTAATCACTTTCTGCATTATTTATTGTACTTTGCCCATAATATTCATGATTGCCATAACAATCAAAGTCATAGCTCTACAGATACTTTGGAGCCATTTACCACTTTTCATCTGAAAAATGGCTTTCAATAAGGAACAGTGTGCTGTTCTTTTTTCCTGTTATGAGCTGTACTATTATAGTTCATTTTAAAAACAATCACATACATTTTTCATTTCTTCTCATTGTGAATTCCATAATTATCAGGCAGTGTCTTCACAAACCAAAGCTCATAACCATAAGGTACTACTAACAAAACACCAGGATCAGCAAGTAACAGAAGCCTACAATTAGCTTCTAAAGATGACCAAAATAGCAGTTTACAGCTGCATTTCTATTCGAGAAATTAAACTTTTATTTTGCATTAAAAATTTTTATTAATTCCTACTATTATTTTTACTTAATTTTTAATTAGCATAAGACTGAATTATCTTAAAATTGGAGTTAACAGTATAAATATTTATTGATCATGATACTTAAATAAATCATGTCTATTGTTTTAATTTTCAATACACCTAGCACATGTAATCAACATGTATCACTTTTTTTATTTTGTTCTAGGTTACATAGAAAACAGATTTCAAGTTTGTAGGTGTTTTCAAATATACATCTCTGGAGATTAAAACTACTACAGATTCAATGAGTAAAAATACTGTAATTGCTCTCTTAATAGCAGAATACTAAACTGAAAGTTAGACATAAAATTACAATGAAATTTCTCACAAAGCAATCATCTAAAAATTATTGGTATTTCTAAGGAAATGATGATATCGAAAACCTCTGATAACTATGTTCTCATAAACAACCATCTCCATATAAGACCATCTCCTTATAAGAATTTGAATTTGTACATGGTTATGTTAGAAGTTCCACTAAAAATGAAGAAAACTTCTAAATGTACATAAATCTCTCAGCTATTTCTACAGAAATCATAAGATAGAAAGCTCTTTTTTGGGGGGGCATAGCAGTAGCCAGATGACAATAAAGACAAAGATGATCTAAGATGAAAAAAAAATTTTTTTTAAATATTCCTCCTCTCTGCTTAATTCTGCATCCTTATTCTGCAGTTCAGACATTTTAATAATATTTTCTATTCTAGAAACTACTTGGAATTTTTGCACTTTTGAAAGTTAGAAAATTTAAGCCACAACAATATATGTCACTCATTTTCAAACATCTTAAATAAATAAAAATCTAAAAAAAATAATTTAAATAAATTACAATCTCAAATCATTATTTTAAAAATTTCACATACAGAAAAAACTGATATTAAAGGGAAAAAACTATTTTTTGAAATTTTAATTTTTGTGTTTATAAAAATGATAAAAGGCAAAGTAAGTTATTACTTACCTAATCCATGCCTGTGAGTGGACATAGAGGGCAAACCTGTCCATGTCATTGTTTGAAAATCATAACACTCTACTATATTCAATGTCTTGAGACCATCACGGCCACCAACAATATACAGCTTATTATCAATTACAGCTGCACCAAACTGCAATCTTCTTGAAGTCATAGAATCAAATTTGAACCATTTATTGCTTCGTAAATCATATTTTTCAACTGACCAAGAACCTAAAAAAAAAATTAAATAAATAAAAAAAAATAATAAAAAAAAAAACTACAGGCTACAAATAGATATAAAATTTTAATTCATTATGGTAAATCTAAATTATCAGAACACTATTACAGGAATGAGGTATAAAAAATACATGTGATTTTAGAGTAACAACAGTATTTTTTTAAGAAAATGTTTACTTCAAATTACATGCTACACTAAACATGGAAAGCAAATTTTACACACATCTAGTTGATTGTTTAATTAATTATGTTATGAATCTATACTTTGAGTGCCTACTAAGTGATGTCTGCTAGGATGAATTCATAATGGAAATTCTGTTTTACATAATAATCATGAAACAATGAAATCCATATGACTAGTCTTTCTCACAGCCATTAATTAAAATTAGGGCACAAATATCAGTATTTTGTAGCTATAGCAACAAGGCTACAATAGGTTTGATAGGTTTTTATGAATAATTAAGCTGCAAATACCATGTTAATTTCGATTTTTTTCATATTTCTCACAATAGTCTCAACAAGTAAAATATACTGAATAGTTACTTAAGAAAATTTATACATTCAAAATTTATAAAATAAATCCTCCTTTTATCTCAAGCAACCTTAATTTAATTAGATATAGGAAACTAAATTTGAACAAACAGTATTTATTGCAAAATCAAGAAATGTTGATTTTAATCATCCATCTGATAAGTGCATTTTATTTGCATACTTTAACACTAACATGAGCAACATTTTATGAACTGCAGAAAATAATGAGACAAACAGATTCTGAATATAAATGTTGACTACTTCATGCATATAAATTTGAACATTGTAAACAGAAAATACAAATAATAGTTTCTGAATAACAAGCCTGAAATTCTTTAAATAAATAAATTAGTTAGTAAATAAATGAATGAACACATGCACATGCACTAAAAAAAGGACTTTTATTAAAAAATTCATAAATTTTAGCATTCCGCAGAGAAAATACAAATAACATTTTTTGAATAACAAGCCTAAAATTCTTTAAATCTCTCTCTCACCCACTCACTTACTCTCTCTCTCTCTCACACACACAAACAAAAGAAGAGCACATTTAATAAACAACTTCTGAGATACAGAATAAAACAAGAACAGCTACAAGAACTACACACCTTTATTACCATCCATACCGCCAACAATAAATAAAGAGCCAACAGTAGATTTTCTTGGCCTAGTTCTAGATGCATGAGGTAAAGAACGTCGCTCTGGTAAAAGATGATATTTCATGGCTTCCATTATCAAGCTACAGCAAGCTGGGTCTTCTTGTAAAAACGCATTAGTTTCAATAAAGTCTGTTAAAAACTAAAATAGGAGAAAAAGTGTGAACTTTACCATATTAAGTATATAATGCAGTTAAAATAAATACACTAAAAAGAAAGTGATCAACAATATTAAACTTCCCTAAAGAAACAAATTAAAGTTAAAAGAATTTAGTCAGATGTATAACAGCTTTCGATATACTAGAGTTCAAAGTTACAAAACTGTGATGCCTTAAAAGTTTCACCATCCCGATTGATAACAGTATATTTGTTTTTAGAAACGTTTACTGCACATAATGGAGACCAACAGTCCTCCAAATGGTGGGTATCAGCCATAGGATGTACACATAGTTGTTCAGTGTGCATACAACAGCATTTAATAACATTTTTTAAATCTCGACTTATGCGAATTTTACTTTTCATTTAATAGAAAATATATTACATTTTACACACATTTCCAATTGACTTTAAATACTGTAACAAATGTTGGTCACCAACTGCTCAAGGTCTGATAATTTTCAATAACAACTCTAGAGACAATGAAATTTTAAATGCTGAACTTTTAATTAAATTCCTGCACTTAATGATTAAGATTTAAAAAACAGTATAGCAGGCTTAAAGCACAAAATACTTTTGTTTGAATCTAATTGTCTGTGGTACTTCCAGTAGCCTCCCCCCAAAAAAAGGTTTAGGATTAAGATTAAGGGCTGCTAATCAAGGATTCAGAATTAACAACAAACATTTAATCTCACAGCTTAAAACATACCCATATTCTTTAATTCTTTGTGCTACATATATTTATGTAGTCATAAGATTGACACACTATGATCTGTTATTGCTAACAGTTGATTTTTACAGTAGATTATACATAATGAACGGAATGATTCATATATTAGAAGATAACATATTTAATGAGGAGTTTTTAGAAAGATGTGTGCAGTCAAAAACAGCAGGCGACTGCTAATGCACACAAATAGGGCAACTACTGAAATATCAAAGATTACATTTTGCTTATAGTAAATTTTAATAAATAATATAAATAATACTTAATAAAATTTCTCTCATATCTGTTTTTTAAACTAAAAGTCCAGAATAATTAGTAAGCAGTACTTGGCAATTTGTATTAATTGAGCCCATACTTTCATTTAAAATACAATAAATAACTCTGTTAAGCTTGAATAGAAAAATTTTTAAATGCAAAACAGTAACACTTATCCCTCGATTTACATGGTACTCGTTTTTACAGGGTTTACAAATTAACGAATTTCAAAAACTTGGTGAAAATGTATATTCGGCTGAATATACGCAAATACATACATCTGAAGTTATTTTTGAATCTCATTCCGTTGGTAACACTAGTGGCAACAACAAGTATGGGGATTCCCTGTGTTGTAAAAGGGGAATCCCCATAGTATGTATATGTATTTCACAATAGTAAAGCTTTTTGGTTCATGTAAACAAGTGCAGTATCAGTATTTTAGCAGCAAAGCTTACATCATTTTTTATCTACATATTTGAATGTTTACTGGTAAGTTTTCAATAGTTACATTTTTATGGCATTTTTATAATTCACGTAAATATTTTAAGTAAATATTTATGTACATATGTATTACATAACTATTTACGTAATATATATATACATAAATATTTTAAGTAAAATGTTATATTAATTTTACATAAATATGTATTTCCATAAATATAATTTACGTAAATATTTAATTAATGCAAAAGATTTGAAAAAAATTAAATAAAAAAAAGTTATTTCTTTAGAAACAAAAATTAAAATATTAGATCGTCTATGTAATAGAGAAACAGTAACAGATGTTGCTAAATTTCATTCCTTCAATAAGGACAATTAGAAAAAATGAAGACACTATTAGAAAAAGTGTAGCAGCTGGAACTTGCAGCAGTAAGAGCACAATTTCATATGAAAGAAATGATAGAATGGAAAATATGGAAAAGGCATTAGCGATATGGATAGGAGAGCAAAATCAAACACGGATTCCAGTTGATACTAATGCTATTACCAATAAGGCTTTAAAGATTTATACAGCACATAAGAATCACTGAGCGGTGACTTTGTCAGATGTGTGTGTGTGTGTGTGTGTGATTATGGCAAAGCCTCGAGGGCTATCTGCCTAAGGGGAGGGATGCCTTCGTGGAGGACTTTCTAAGGGAAACTGGCTCGTATACACGTTACACATGGGGAAAACCATGAAAACGCCCATGCAGCCAGCCCGTTCGCGGGATTCGAACCTCGGACCGAACTACCAGTGTTCAGCGACTTTACCGCTCGGCCGCTGGTGGGCCCGACTTTGTCAGATGAAAAAAAGGCATCTTTTTCCTGTGATGACAGTGGTTAAGCTTAAAATTTTTTTGAATGATCTTATATTTTCCTAATGTAAAATAAATATGTACTTCTATTAACTACATATATTTGTTATTTTATGAATGAAGTATAACTTTATTTATTTTAAGATGTTTTACTTTTGTTTTATGTAAATAAATAACTTAATTATGCACATTTAGTGTTTTTTTTTGTTTTACACAGGTTTACATAGCAAAATCCAAGATTTCGATTTACACAGTTTTGTGCGGAACCTATCCTCCATGTAAATCGAGGGATGCGTGTTGTAATTTTTTTTTTTGGCATACTTTAAATCTATATATATTGGAGAACTGAAATATGCATTTTTTCTTTCTAGAAAAGATTTTTTATGTAAATTTTATCATCAGAAACTAAGCTGCCAAAATAAATTAATTTCATATGTTATCAAACAAAACATTTTTTAAAAATAAATTTCAATTAAATTACAGTTAATTGTTATTTATTACATAATATTAAAAGTAAAATTTATAAAACTTAAGAAAATATAATGCACTGAGGAAAAAATACCGTAAAAATGTAGCTTAGTATCATAAAATTCGAAACAGGGTTCAAGGCTTTGCTATCTGAGGAGCAGTCCAAAAACTCTATATCACTATCAAAACTAAAATGACTTTACTCTGTCAATCGCTGAACATTTTCCAGCAGCCAGTTCTAATTAGAAAAAGACGGAAAACATAGTGAAGTTAGAGCGGTACATACAGAGTACCTTCAAATGTCGCAATTTTAGTGGATGACTAATGACATCTGTTGGTCAAAACCTAAATTAAACGTCTAATAGTGTATATAATTTATTTCACTGGTTAAACGATGAAAAGGCAGGATGCACTCCCCAATAAAGGAAGAAAAACACATGCCTGCGAAAATCACGGGATGAGCAAATTTTTCGACATTTGAGTTGCCTGTGGAAATTGGGGAATGACAGCCAGAGGGTTAAGCATATGTGGGAAATAGGCATATGTGTAATAAATAACAAAACTAATAAAATTCAGGGTTAATTTCCTCAGTGCACCATAGCAGAAATATAAATTTTAGCAGAACAACATGTCTTTAAGCCCCGTTTATATTAGTGCATTGCGAACACGTAGCGTCATTGGGAGAAATGCATACTCAGACGAAAGACTGTACACTACTGTGTTAGATTTGCATTTACAGAAGTTTGGTGGTCTATTGCATTCATTACCATCAGATGTCTTTGTATTTAGCTTTTGGAATTCGGACTTTTAAGAAACTTAAATTCAATGTTATAAGAAATTTTTATTTCTGCTTATGTGCTGTCAAACTAAAGTACATTAGCAATTTTTAGATAAGTAAGGTTCTAATGCATATTATGAACATCTCAAATTGGATCGAAGCTGAAGTAGTTTTTAAAAATTTCTTTGTGTTTCTAGAAGCTTTAACAGGGTTCGTAGCTACATTTTAGTTAAAAAAAAATAAGCACCTATAAGCACTTTGTAAGCACATTTTAAGAAAAAAAAATAAGCACCTGTCTAACTACATTATACAGAACTACATAACCTTAAAGGAAAAATTAGATTTTTAATTTAAGATATGAGAAACTCAGCATTTATTAAGAGACAATGAGCATTACGCAACCATGGAAAATAATAACTTTTTTTAATTTTAAATAACAGTTCAATTTACAGAACTAGTTTACAATGAGAGCGGAAAAAACTATGCAGAACTAAATTATATTTTAAGATTTAATGATGAAATTTCAGTTCAAAATAAAGAAAATATATAATAATAAGCCATATTTATTATATTCGCTTGGCACCTAAAAATAAATACAATTTATTTTTCCACTCATATTAATATTTAAATAATTTAACTTGAATAAAAATTCTGAACATTTTCTAAATTTTCATTGTATAACAGTTTACCTTTAACAGATATTGCAAACAAAGTAATTTAAGTAAAACAAGGAACTTTTCTGAAATCAGAAGATGGGAAATTGCTTCCTGCAGTCATCCTTTAACAGTAAAAGCTTAATTAACCGGCATACTCGGAAATTACCAAATATCTGAAAAATTCCAGATAGTCAAGCATAACTGCTAAAAGAGGAAAGGGGGTAGATTGTGTAGCCGTTCTTTAGATTTTCCAGCTAAATAATGCTTTTGACATTTTGATATGTGCATCATATAAAAAATAGCCCAATGGAACTGAGAAATAATCTTCTTAGCAAGCATAGTAAAACTCTTATCTCTGTGAAATATCGCAAATGTTATTGCGCAATAACTTTGTATGCCTTAATCCTTCCGCACGTGATATTATGCAATCGGAATCAACAGCTGCCAGTTTTCGGAGAATAAATAACTAAATAAAGGAAAACGCCCCCTTTTGCTTCGTCCGGTTTTCACCATCATGCGCCATGCATGTGGCATATTTATCAATGAGCAGACACACGTCGTGCTCAAAGCATGATATCCCTGCCATGCTCATATTGGTTAATAAAGAGAATTACCAATTTGGGGTGTTTTTCATTCTAATTTTGAACAGACTGTGTTAAATTTCCGAAACATAATCATTCTTCGCTTGGGTTGGTAGAGCACAGAACTTTTAGTCCTATTCAAACCTGGTTGAAAATTGACCCCCCCAAAAAAAGTCTGTTACTTGCTTTGCTGCAAACTGTACCGGTTTCAATATTCGAGATTTTG